ATCGCAACCCTCGGTGTTGCCCCCGCGCCTCGCTCAGCCAGTGAGCGGGAACCGGTCTGCATGTGGGATCCGAACCCTCGGCGGGAGCGCCACCGCGCTTCCCAAGCGGCGCACTATAGCAGTGCGCCACCGGGCGGCCCCGAAAATGCATTCTTAACTCCTACCATTCTGCATATCAAGGAACATTGCTTTAGCTGTTTTTCACTGCTTGTCAAGTATCAGGGATATGGTAGATGAAGTGGGTGTTGCAGTCCTAGGACCTATCTCAATGTAAGACGGTAGTTTAAAAAGCTCATGGAAAACGGAATTAAAAGGTAATACAAATCTTTCCATGGCCTTTTTGAAGTACCCTCATATTGTCTTTTTTTTTTTTCCCTTTTTGTCTTTTTTCGTGGCCGGCAACGGATCGCAACCCTCAGTGTCGTGCCCGTACCGGACCGGGACCGGCAACGGGATCGCAACCCTTGGCGTTTCCCCCGCACCTCGCTCAGCCAGTGAGCGGCCAGTCTATATGTGGGATCCGAACCCTCGGCGGGAGCACCACCGCGCTTCCCAAGCGGCGCACTATAGCAGTGCGCCACCGGGCCGGCCCGACCCTCATATTGTCTTACTTCATGTAGCAGTTCTTAATCAGATATTTGGTTCTAGTTATGTGTATAGTACTTTTTTGATACAGTGGAGAATAAGATGTAATGCAAGAAGCCCCTAGTTTTAAAGAGTTTTTTTTCCAAAAATATGTTAAATAGAATATATTTTGTCTCCGTAACAACAAATTCAATGTGCCTGAATTATGCTAGTGATGAAAAAAGTCATCAAGATTTGTAAGTTTCGAGTTTTTATTATTTGGAAGAATTATGAAACAATGAATAGAAATAGGAAAGCCAGAAGTAGAGGAATGACTTGTAAATTTTAGTTTTAGACCTGTTGCATTTGAGGTGATAATAAGGTTGGAGATGTGAAACTAGAGCTTATGAGAAATGTCAGGACTGGGCCCGTAGATTTGGCAATTCACATGGAGGTGATAGTTAAGCCACAAGAGTAGTTGAGTTCTCTGAGGGAGAAAATAAAGAGCAGTGGTTCTTAAATACTGTTATAAACCAGAATCATCTGTGAAGCCTGTTAAAAATACAGTGCCCAGGCCCTACTATTGGCGGTTTGGATTCATTTAGGTTCAGTATGAAACCTGAGCATGTCTATATTTTGAAAAAATTTCACAGGAATTCTCATGCACACCAAATTTTAAGAACTGGTGGTATTAGGAGAACAGAGTAGTGAGATTTTAACCTTGAATCTTCCAGTTAATGACTGGGAAGAAAAAGAACAAGGATAGAAGACCAAAAAAAAAAAACAGTCCAAAGATTCTGGAGGAGACTCATTACGTATTTATTGAGTGTATACTCCTTATAGGGTTGTCATACCATGTTATAGCAGGCAGTACGTGAAAGGGACAAGGTAAGACTCCAGAACAAAGATACCAGGCACACATTATGCTTGAGGATCGGGGAAGGAATGGATTAAAGCTAAATAAACCATAAAAATTAAAAATTAAATGCCAGAGGGTATAACACTTTTTGTCTAAAGTTGATTTAGATATCAGGTTATGGGCACTGGTAGAGCATAGTAAAGCAGATGTTCAAAGAAGTCAATCAGCAAGCACCTAACCAAGGTATTTATAATATAAAGAGGTCAAGAACAGGCTGGTAAGAAGACAACAACAATGAAAATACTTTTATGCTGAAGTTGCATTCTGTTTCAGCCTCAGCTGCCTTTAGCTTGAAGGCATATTGGTGATAACTATGAACAGCTGGATCATGAATGTGGGGATGGGAGCAGACAAAGTTCTGAGACTAAGACATTTCCCACACACAGGCACTGCTCAGTGCTGAATCAGTATAGCTTATGCCAAGGGAGTAGTATTTTTCAAAAAGATTATGATCATTGTGAAATGTTGCTGTGTAGTCAGTAATCTTTGGGAGTGCAGTTTTAGCTGAGATAAGGAGCAAAACAGATTGCAGGGGCTTAAGGAGATGAATGAGTAGCAAGAAAATAGAGATAGTAGATATACTATTCAATTCAAGAAGTTTGGCAATGAAAGGAAGAGGAGAAATGGGATGCAAACTTGAAGCACAGTGGAGTTCGTTGATTTTTTTTCAAGGGATGGGAAATGGTTATGTTTGAAGGTAGAGGGGAAGGAGTAAATTGAGAGGGAGGTACTGAAGATACCTTAAGAGGGGAAATAATTGAAAGATCAGGGTCCTTAAGAATATTGAAGAATTAGTAAACTTTAGAAAAAAGAAAGGAAATATTTTCAAAAATGGAAATTTAAGTCAGTTTAAATATATGGTTAGAAATTATTTTACCAAAAGTTTTTCTTCAGAATGAATTAACTTCGTGAAGAGATGAATGGATTTTACATTTCGTGATGGGTGATAAAAATCTGACCACTTCAATTACCCTGTAATTTCAGCTGGGCAAATATTCTCTTATTCAATGGAATATTAATTAGAAGTGGTATTAACATAGGTAGAATGGCTGCTGAGATCTAATATAAAAGGTAACTAGTTCAGTTATATATGAAGTCATTTTAAAAAACTTGGATATGTTTTATGATGGAAGAAACCACAGAAATAAGGAGGTTACAATTATTCAAACATTCCTATTTTCAGGGAAAATGAACTGTATAGTAAAGATGTTTGTATTTTGTTTTTGTTCTTTTGTTTGACCTTGGTGTTATCAGCACCATGCTCTAATTGAGTGAGCTGACTAGCCAGCCCAAGGTGTCTGTATTTTCTGAATTATACTTCAAGAACTTTTATGTCATCTACAGAAAAGAGTATATTTAGAAAGTTTCACATTTTAAGAAAAAAATCTAAAACTGACCTATGTTCAGAGATTTTGTCAGGTGCTGAATAGCTTTAGGTTCCAATTCTACTTAGAATTATTCTTCTGCCAGCATGGTATATATGACAACATCATGTGGAATCAAGCATTGTTTTAGTCCGTTTTGTGTTGCTATGACAGAAACACCTGGGACTGGGTAATTTATAAAGGAAAGAGGTTTATTTGGCTTACGATTCTGGGACAGTTGCATCTGGTGTGGGCCTCAGGCTGCTTCTACTCATGGCAGAAAGTGGCAGGCAGCCGGTGGGTACAAGCAGATCACATGGTGAGAAGAAGCAAGAGAGAGAGAGAAGGTGCCAGGGTCTTTTTAAGCAACAAGCTCTCGCAGGAACTAATAGAGCAAGAACTCATTCATTAATCCCCCCTCCCCCAGGGAGAGATTAATCCATTCATGAGGGTTCCGCCCCCATGACTCAATCAGTTTCCAGCACTGCCACATTGGAGATCAAATTTCCACATGAATTTTGAAGGGGACAACACATCCAAACTCCATTAAGCATCTTCAGTGAGTCTTTGGGATTTAAGACCTGTGGAAATTGAAATTTGAGAATTAAATATCTCTCTGACTGGAACATTAAACAAATGATTCATTTGATAAGTTTCAGGTCATTTACTTTTGAAAATTGTTTTTTTTTAAAAAGGCCTTAAAATTCTTTCTTTCAACAACAACAAAACTGGCTTCACTTAAATCATCTTTTCTCTTTATAGGTGTGTATAAAAAGAATGAACGTTTTGTGTTTATTAGTGTCTAACTTCTGTTTTGCAGTATGTCATGTTGCTTGCAAGTTGGTGTGTATGTGTGAAGGCTCAGTTGCTTCAGAAGAAGCTATTCAAAGACAGATTTTGGTAAGTCCTAATTAATTGAGAAGAAAGTGCAGATGCAATGATATAGTTGTTACTCCTATGAAAATGGTTGAAGTTAGTGTAAGACTGGAAAAGGATTGAATTCTTTTGTGCTATCCATGTTTCTTTTATAATTGGTTTATTTACTACAGTTAAAAGTCTCAGCAGTACTATAGTTGTTGTTACAGTGGTTCAGTGAAATAAATATTGAACTTTCAATTCTGTATTTATGAATTAATTTTTTGCTACCCATAACTTGATAGAGTAACAGTTTCTCCACCTGAGGGAATGGTATTATTTAGTCTTAAAAGAGATTTTCTACTGAATATTTTGAAGCATTAAGTAAATAAGGAAAAGAATACAGGGTTTGAAATCTGAAGACTTAGGTTTGACTTACCTAGGCCTATGACTTACTAGCTATGTGATTTTAGAAGATTACCTAGTTTTCTCATTTTTAAAATGGCAATAATAATATCTCCCTTAGAGTGTTATAGGGTTAAAATTAGAGTTTTTGTGAAAAGTGCTTAATAAACTATAAAATGTATGAGTTAAATATACAGTAGTAGTATTTGTCCATGTAAATACTATGACAACAACCTGACAAATCCCATATCATACATTATATGATAAAACTGAGTTGAATGCAGGGTTCACCTTGTGTATTTCCCTTCTTTCAAAGACTGTAGCCACTCCAATGCCTTCAAACAGTTATATTTGTTCAGCTTTTATAGTTGTCTTCAGTGGGAGGGTCAGTTTGAATTAAGCTATTCTATCTTGGCTGGAACTAGAAGTCCTCTTTTTTTTTTTAAGTTTATTTATTAATATTATTATTTTTTTACATTCTAAGATGTTGCAGAGTAATTAGGGGGAAGGGAGAGAGGGGAAGGGGGAAGGAAATAGGGTGGGAGAAGGAGAAAGAAGGGGGGCGTGGTTGAGGCTTGTGGCATCCCACTCATTCCTGCAGGGGAGCCCAGGGGACTTCCTGCGGTGGCTCAGTTGTTGCTGGGCTCAATGCAGATGTCAGGGGGGTGTGGCTGAAGCCCTCAGCCCCCCACCATCCCTGCTCGGGAGACGAGGGGGCTTCCAGTGGTGGCTTGGTTGTCACCGAGCTGGTTGCAGATGTCAGGGGGTGTGGCTGAAGCCCTTGGCCCCCCACTGCCCCAGTTCAGGAGCCTGGGGTGCTTCCTGTGGCAGCTTGGTGGCCATCACTGGGCTGGTTGTGGGTGTTAGGGGTCATGGCTCAGACCACCAAACTTCCCCCTTCCTGGCTTGGGAGCCCAGGGGGCTTCCAGTCCTTCTAGGTTTTATAGGTGTTCTTTGGTGATGTGAGACCTTTACTAATTAATATCAAACTTTGTCTCTGATCTGTGTGTATTTTGATTTTTCTTTCAGTTTTGTGTTGGATTATTCGCTGTTCCCACTAATAAAATTCTGCACTGGAACTAATTTGTTGTCCTTTGCTTACTTCTAAAGTGGGGGAACTTCCTGTGGGGACCAGCACTCGAGCCCTGTAGTTGAGCTAAATTGCTGCTTTGCTGCTATTCCCTGGGGAAAGCTTTTTGTGCAGCTCAGGTTTTAATTGTTGTCCTTGTGTGTACTTCCAGGTCTTGTGAATTCTGGTACTCCTGGGTTGTGTGGAAACTCTGGTCTGGGCCTGAGACTTTTCAGCAAACTGTACTCCCTGCAGATCTGTATTCTTAAACAGTCTCCACTGAGTGGTACTGCACTGACTGGGGGGCAGATCAGCTGTGCATGCTGTGCCCCAGTGTTCCCCTGGTGGTCCCATCTCCCCCACTGCCTGTACTCCAAACACTTCCTCTGGGATGGGCCATGTGCCAGTCCCTTACAATGACTCATTGGCCTCTGAATGTCTCCTTTATTCAGCTGTTGTGGCTCCTCACTTCTGTGTGGGTCAACGGGAATGCTGTTAGTGGTCTTGCTGGCCTGAGGGCCACCAAGGCCTTCTTCCCTGCTGCCTCCAAGGAACTTCATACAAAGAGCATAGCTGTGGCTTTTGCTGGCTCCTGTTCCATGCACTCACCAGCTCCAGCCTTGAAGTGGCCAGGATTCAAAATGGTGGGAGTGGTCCTTTCTTTCTCTCATCATGGTTTCTCCTGCCTTCATGGACTCCATAGGTCTCTCCTCCTCTTCCCCTGAGCTCTAGCGACCCCAGCTTGGCTGTCATTGCTTTTTAATAGTTGGAAGTTTTTTGATTCGTGGGAGAAAGTGACATTCTTTTTTAAATTAAAAAAATTTTTTATTGAAACATAATTGTTAGTATATATCTGTGGGGTAAAGCATTGAATATCAATACCTATGTGCAGTATGTGATGCTCAAATCAGTATCGTTCATATATTCAGCATTACACAATGTAATCAATTTTTGTGGCCCTTTACCAATTTCTCACTAAATCCTACCCTCTTTCCTACCTCTGGTGGCCTCAGTTCTGTTCTCTACTTTCAAAAGTTCAACAAATTATTGTGATTATTGTATTTTACTTTTTTCTTTTATTCTTTTTTTGTTTATATTTTTAGCTTCCATTTATGAGTGAGGATATATGTTATTTTTCTTTATGTGCCTAGGTTATTGGACTTAACAGACTTTTGTCTAAAGTTCATCCATGTTGCTGCAGATGGCAGAATTTCATTCTTTTTTATGGCAGAGTAGTATTCCACTATGTATATATACCACATTTTCCTTATCTAGTCATCCATCCATGGATGTTTAGGTTGGTTCCATCTCTTGGTTATTGTAAATAGAGTTGTGATAAACATGGGAGTACAGGTATCCCTTCAACATGATGATTTTCATTCCCTGGGGTGTATATACAGCAGTGGGATTCTGGATCATATGGCAGTTCTATCTGCAGTTGTTTGTAGAATTTCCATACTGTTTTCCATCATGACTACACTAATTTACAGTCCTACCAATAGTGTAGGAGGATTCCCCTTTCTCCACATCCTTGCCAGCGTTTGTTATTCCCCGTCTTTTTGATCATGGCAAGCCTAATTTGTGTGAGAAGATATCTCAGTGTGGTTTTGATTTGCATTTCCCCAATGCTTAGTGATATCGAGCATTTTTTTCATGTGTCTGTTGGCCATTTGTGTATCTTCCTTTGAGAAATGCCTATTCAGTTTCTTTGCCCTTTTTATAATTCGGTTAATTGCTATTTTACTGTTAAGTTGCTTGAGTTCCTTGTATATTCTGGATATTAATCCCTTGTGGGATGCATAGTTTGCAAATATTTCCTCCCATTCTGTAGGTTGTCTTTTTGCTCTGTTAATTGTTTATTTTGCTGTGTTTGAGGTTTTTAGTTTGACATAATCCTACTTGTTTATTTTTTTCTTTTGTTGCCTGTGTTTTTGAGGTGTTATTCATAAAGTCTTTGTTCATTTCTACTTCCTGAAGCGTCTGCCCTATGTTTTCCTTTAGGATTTTTATAATTTCAGGTCTTATATTTAAGTCTTTAATCCATTTTGGTTGATTTTTGTATATGGTGAGAGGTATGGGTCTACTTTCATTCTTCTACATATAGACATCTAGTTTTCCCAGCACTATTTATTGAAGAGGTAGTCTTTCCCCCAATGTATGTTCTTGTTGTGTTTGTCAAAGACCACTTGGTATATGTGGGTTGATTTCGGTGTGTTACTCTGTTCCACTGGTCTGAGTGTTTTTATGCCAGTACCATGCTGTTTTGGTTACTATAGCTTTGTAGTATAACTTGAAGTCAGGTAGTTATGCCTCTGGCTTTTTTTTTTTTTTTTTTTTTTTTTCTTGTTCAGGATTGCTTTGGCTGTTTGGGGTATTTGTTGTTCCATAGGAATGTTACGATTGTTTTTCCTATTTCTGTAAAGAATGTCACTGGTATTTTGATGGAGATTACATTGAATGTGTATATCACTTTGGGTAGTGTGGACATTTTTACAATGTTAATCTTTCCAATGCAGGAGTGTGGAGTGTCTTATCTTTTTGTATCCTCTTTAATTTCATTCAGCAGTTATTTGCAGTTCTCATGGTAGAGATCTTTCATCTCTTTGGTCAAATTGATTCCTAGGTATTTTATTTTTTTGGTAACTATTGTAAATGGGCTTGATTTCTTTTTCTACTAATTTGTTGTTGGAGCATAAAAATGCTACTGATTTTTGTGTGTTGATTTTATATCCTGCATTGTTACTGAAATCGTTTATCAAGTCTAAGAGTTTTTTTGTAGCATCTTTAGGTTTTTCTGTATATAGGATCATGTCATCTGGAAACAAGGACAGTTTGATTTTGTCTTTTCCAATCTGGATGCCCTTTATTTCTTTGTCTTTCCTGATTGCTCTGGCTGATGTTTCCAGTACTATGTCAAAGAGAAGTGGTGAGAGTGGGCATTCTTGCCTTGTTCCTGTTCTTATCATACATTCAGAATGATATTGGCAGTGGGTTTGTCATATATGGCTTTTATTTTGTTGAGATTCTTTCTATACCTAACTTGCTGAGAGTCTTTATCATGAAGGGATGTTGAATTTTGTCAAATGGTTCTTCTGTGTCTATTGAGATGATCATATGGTTTTTGTTCTTGTTTTTGTTGGTGTGTGGTGTATCACATTTACTGATTTGCATATGTTGAGCTATCCTTGCATCCCTGGGATGAACCACACTTTATCAGGGTGTATATATTTTTTGATGTGTTGCTGTTTTCTGTTGGCTAATATTTTGTTGAGGATTTTTGCATCTGCGTTCATCAGAGATATTGGCCTATAGTTCTCTTTTTTTTGTTGTTTCTTTGTCTGGTTTTGGTATCAGTGTGATGCTGGCCTCACAGAATGAGTTTGAGAGAATGGGCTGTGTTTCAATTTTTTGGAGTAGTTTGAAGAGAATTTAAAAGTTTGGTAGAATTCAGCAGTAAAGCCATCTAATCCTGGGCTTTTCTTTGTTGGGAGACTGCTGATTACTGCTTCAGTCTCACTGCTTGTTACTGGTCTGTTCAGCTTTTCTATTTCTTCTTGGTTCAGTCTTGGTA